AATGTCTTTTATTCCTTCATAGAATGGAACAGAACATTTAAGTTGGAAGGACTCACAATAATCATCTAGTCCATGTGTCTGATCAATTCAGGGCTGACCAAAAGTTAAAGCATGTTATTATCCAAATGCCTCAAACACTGACAGGCTTGGGGCACTGACGACCTCTCTAGGAAGCCTGTTCAGTGTCTGACCACACTCGTGGTACAGAAATGATTCCTAATGTCCAGTTTGAAAAGGTCAAGTCTTGTGGTGCTTTTAAAGAAAAATAGTTGTGCTTTGGATCAGCAGTGTCACTGGGAGTGCTGGCATGTCATCATTTGTAGAGTTCTACTGAAAAGGCATGGACTTTCTCCTAGTACTCCAGACATCACCTATATAAATAATCAATCAGCCTCACAGCTGAAAATGCATCAGAAAAAACATTCAGGAAGTCATTTACTGGACAGTGCTGTCCATTTATTGGACCAGTGTCACAGATCCGTGATGTCTGCTTCAAGATGTTTGTCATTTCATTTCGTCTTCACACTCTTGATGATAGGACCCTTCACCTTGTGATAGGACAAGGGGTAATGGGTACAAATTGAAAGCAGGGAGGGTTAGATTAGATATCAGGAAGAAATTCTTCACGGAGAGGGTGGTGAGGCACTGGAACAGGTTGCCCAGAGATGTTGTGGATGCCCCATCCCTGGATGTCTTCAAGGCCAGGCTGGATGTGGCTCTGAGCAACCTGGTCTAGTGGAAGGTGTCCCTGCCCATGGCAGGGAGGTTGGAACTAGATGGTCTTTAAGGTCCCTTCCAACCCAAACCATTCTATGATTCTATGATTCTTCTGCTAACTTCTGGCATTGTTATCAGCATTCATGGCTCAAGTTCTTTTCTGTAAGAATTAGTTTTTACTATGTCATATTAAATCTGATTGAAACTCAGCTTTTATTTTAAAGAAGTTTCAACTTTCATTTTCATGCCTTATTGTAACAAAAGTAAATACATCCAAATTCACCAGAATTTGTTTTATATTTAAGATTTTGAAATGCGATTTCAGAATCACACAGGGATATTTCATGCTTACATAAACTATATGCTTATACACCAATTACATTCAAAATGTTAAATCTCACTGGCCCTGTTACTGTGCATAACTGACATGTTACTAAATAATGCAAGAAAATATTTTTTTAAAAGAATGTGTGCAAAAGGAAACAGTTTGGGGAACAACAGCTTTGCAATAAGACACTTCTTTCAGTGAATCAGTACTTCCCAATGCAAAAAAAAAAGGGGGAAAAAAAAAATATATATATTTCAATCAAAGTAATGAAGCAATGTAAGTCTATAGCTGCCTCTGGAGTACAGAGGACTCAGTCTGTCTTGCACCTCCCTGTTGTCCCCGGAAGCTCAGGTAATTCCCAGATGCAGCTCAGCTTGCAGAGCCCATAAAGAATAAACACCAGCCAGTTCGTCTGCCACATTTAAAACATATCTGCCCAATTTTACCTCCTGATTGTAATTCTCAGTCCAACCCTGAAATGGACAACAGACAAGGGAAGTTCCTTATCTGTTTCTCTGCATGTCCTCGGTGTGAAGTCTGAGAACTTCTCCTGTGCTTGCTGCGGTGCTACCACTGTGCAGCTGGCACCACGGTGCTGGGACTCTGTCTTGACTCATTCTTCCTCACTCCAAAACCAAAGCAAACCTTTCCCATCAGAGGGCCAAACCCTGCCAATGAATTAATTCGATCCCTAAGACTGGATCCCTGCTAAAGTTCCCTGTAAGGATCACACTGCTCTGGACTCTTGCCACCGGAAAAATGTGACCACAGATCCCTAAGTGGTATCAGGATCAGGCCTGAACCTCCTGGGTTTGGCTGAATGAAACGCAAGCAGGATTTTAGGGTGATTTCAAAAGCAGATGAGAAAGCCTTTTCAGCCCATGCAGCATGGCCTCCTATCTCCAGGAATGTCGTGTCTCCTGTGCTGTGTACAGAAGTTCTTTTGTAGTCTGTCCCAAGACTTTAAAAGCACCAACAGAACAAATTTCACCTCTAAGACCTATTTCCTTTTTTTTTTAACCCTCCTACTCCTTAATATCATCACAGAAATTGATGAAAAGCTTTTTATACTGCAATAACATTTATTAATTGGTATTACTAGCTGTGACCATTCCCACATGTCCCTTCATTGGGAGGGGACGCTCCTCTGTGAGGCCTGACATTAACCTTTATAATGCTGCCACCAAGAAGGACACTCATCAGTGAAAATACAGGCTAACAACAGATTAAAGTAGTAATTATTTCAATCTAGTTTCTTCCAGAACAAAATACAACAACAGCCCCTGAGTCTAGAGAAGAATTACATAAATGCCACTAAGATGCTCTGCATCTTTTCTCCTCTTGCCATGTTCGTACTATTAATTTTTTTTTCCCTATACGCTAAGTTTGGCATTGGTTTGTATTAAGAGTCTTCTCCTTGGTATCTTACAGCTTTTATAATCAGGTAACAGAGAAGACAATTCCCTTCCTCTTTCAGAGTGAACCCACAAGCAGGTCAGGTGAAGGAGGTATCTGAGAATCGCTGGCTCTAAAAGCACCAAACTTCACTCCTGCTCTGAAATAACAGGTTCAACAAACCATCTGAGAGTAGCCACAGACTTAGGAGTCTCTTAACTGGGGCCAGTCTTCAAGGAGAAGCAGCAATCCTATGCAGGGCTACCAGCTCTAGTGGGAAAACCGTGTGTTAAACTCACATTTCAACCCAGCTTTGTCAGAACAGGAGAAGATTCAGTGTCAACAAGCAGGCATTTCCTTCTGGGTTCTTTAACACAGGTATCTTCTCATGCTGAACGTTAAACCACTTCAGCCTGGTCCCATAACCCTGCTGTGACATGACCTCCAGCCTGCACTGGAAAACTCATGCTTTGTATGTCTAAGCTTGATCTTAGCTGAAAATTAGCTCAGCTATAGCCCAAAGGAGCCCCTTATGGCCAGCATAGGCTTTGGCAGCCTGCCAGCAGTGCTCTTGTAAAGCCATCCAGCAAAGTGACACCATCAGTTAGAAGATCTATGTGTGTCAGGTCACTGGGTTACAAAACAGAAGCGTCATAAGCATCTAAGGACATGGTTTGGGCTCTGCTGTGAACTAACATCCAATTGGTTTTGTGGAAACAGATTGCTATCTTAAGATATATTCCAGTGGGAAAGGGTCTCTGCATTGTAATAGCATTTCTGCTGGGAAATAGCGGTTCCAGTACTGAGAATTGTTAAGACACCCTGAAATAGGTAAAGATACAAATCCATTGGATGTTACTATTACACTGCAGCCAGCACACTGGTGAGGTGGTGTGCGTGGATGGAAAAAAATCTAGCTTAGAACGTACACTGCACTGTGTTGGACTACAGTAAAAATCAGAAGTCCCTCTTTCCACAGGAAATGACACCAACACAAAATGAAAACCATGATAATAAGCAATATGACTCTCCCACGCGTTACTTCCTAGTAACACCTAAGAACACACACATTTGTAGCACACTTCGAAAATGTCAGCTCCATCACAGCAGTATCACGAGCAATGTGTGTGTCCCTCTGAACCAGTCCTCCTGGCCTTCAAACAGAACTGAGGGCCAGGAGAGTGACAGAAGCTGAGAACTGCAATACGGTCAAAAAAAGAAAGGGAAAAATGCTGAAAGAATTAAGCCAGCGTGTAAAACTTTGTCACGTTGTTCCGATTCAAACAACACAACCTGCATTGGTATTTTTAAAATACATTCCACGGCAAAGGGAATGACAAACTCTCAGGCTAATGATACAGCTGCAAAACCTCAACATCTCCAACTGCATAGAGATATGTGAAAAAAAGTGGCTGATATCAATAACCATCTTGATTTAAACTTAAGACAGACTGCTAAGGTAATTGCTGGTTTACAATTGCGCTTCTGCTGTGGTAGTTATCACTGATTATGGTGGTAACCACTGAGATGAAAAGCAGAAGCAAAGTAAAGCAATATTATACAATAAAGCATAAGGGAAAAAAACGCTTAAAAGAAGGGCAGACAAATGTAAAAAAAGAAAGAAGGAAAATTACACTGATACTGATCGAATTTCTAGTCTGCACTGCAAGAGATTACGTGAGAACCCATCCTCCCCAAACTCCCCTCTGCTCTCCCATCTTCTTATTCCTTCTCTGCGAATGAAAATGTAACTTTTATTTATGCCCGTACACAAGTGCTGAGAAGGAAAAGCATTACACCCAGCTTCTGGGCAAGCCAGCACACTGCAGCAAAAACAAAAAGGCCATTATTTGGATGGAAGAATCAGTCTGTATTAGTGACTTGACTGATCCCTTTTTTATTAAGCAACTGTTGGAGCAGGGTTCAGAGTGTGTGCTGGTGTGGTGCAGCTGTTCCACATATGTTATAAATAAGGGCTGGTAAAAGCGCAGCCTATTTTTAGCTTTACCAAAAAAAAAAAAAAACCAACCACCAAGAAGTCACAGAAACCTCCCATTAATGCCTTGTAAGTGGAACTTTTCTCCTGTTCTTGACTTTAATGCCCAGAACTGAATGGACAAAACAGGACATTCTTAAAATATTATTAATTAAAAAAGAAAAGAAAATGCAACTTAGTGGAAGTAGATTAAGCCAGTCTGGAAGATATAAGCAACTGGTGTGTACAGTGTCTTTTCCTTCAAAAGCAGACCCTTATTCAGGGGAAAATCAAACACCCGTAATTCTATTTCTAATAAAAATTTTGGATGACCAAACTGAAGAGTTTCTCTAGCACAACTCAAAAGCTGAGGGGTCTCTCTCCCCCCATAGCTAGGCACTAAACCCAGCATCACGCAGCTCAGACACCACCACCACTTCCCAAACCAGTCCTCGCTTGCCTCTTGCTGGGTTGCTGCACGCAGAGCCCATCACCAGCTCCTACTCACCAACCCCAACACCGAAAAGGCCAATGAGGATTGAACACGAAGGCAAAATCCCAGCCCCTTGCAAATCCCCCGCTCACCTGTTTTCGGGGTCTGACACCGTCATGTTGCGCGTCACGTAGCACATCTTGAGCGGTATTGTCTTCTTGTCCCTGTGGATGGAGAGCGAAAGCTGCGACAGTGGGTCAGCAGAGGCGCAACCCAATCGGGGAGATTCGGGGGGAGGCGTCTCCCACCCTATTTCTGAAACAGGAGAGCCTTTCTTCACATAGGGGGTTGCTTCTCTCATGTATTTCACTATGAAAAAGAAAAGAAAAAAGGGAAGCAATAAATAAATGGATATTCAGTAGGTGCATCCATTTGAGGTCTTTGAAGTGGTACCAACCCTCAGCACTGTTTATCAGTTCTATTTGTCCAGCATAACGGCATTGGAAGCTGTGCAAATACAGAAGATGGAGATCCAGCTGCAGTCCACCTCAGTGCAGTGAATGCGTGAACGAGGGAAAAGAACAGAATAGGAGAAATAACATCTGGCTAGTGTAAGGCCAGGAGAGCCATCTGCTCAACAGGCTGTGAGTCCTCGCACAGCAATTCCTATGCACAGAAGCCGTGGGCTAGCTGAGGCATGGGGAAGTTTTTAAGAAAGACATTCGACCAAGTGACAGTGAATCTATTATTCCGCTATCTAAAAATCTTCCAGCGATGCTCCCAGGGCTGCAAGCTCACGTCTTGCTTCTAGTTCACGCTTGTCAGTGTCCCGCCACTGATCTCAACAGCTCTTTCTGCTTGCTGGGAAGCAGTTTTAGCTGATCTACTTGTACATCTATATATATGGAGTAAACAAAGTAACATTTCACCTCTTATCGTTCTCACGGGGAAATAAAATTGAGTTTGAGCCTTTCGTGAGAGTGGAGGTGTCAGATGAGATCTTTTTTCAGCCTCTTTCAGTTTTTTTTCCAGTATGGATAGGAGAGGTGAATATAGGATGCCCACATCATCTTGCTTCTTATGTGTCTGGCAAATCTGCCAGCCACCATCTCCTCCTCCCTCACAAACCTGACGGAGCTCAACCAAGAACAGACCTCACATTTAAGCACCCTGGCTAATGTACTTATCCAATGTACACAGCAGTGCCTGCCTAACCCGCTGGACTGTACCCGTGACGCAAACAGCGGTGAGACCAACCGAAAGGGCAGGAGCACAGTGAACTCATTGGGGGAAGTCACTAAAATGCTGCAAGAAATAATTTCAAGGAAACGGTGCAGATTATCATGTCAGCTAGGCTGAAGAGGCTGGGAATGAGTGAATAACAAAAAGATGGGTAAAATACAAAAGAGCATTGTGGTGAAGGAGGTTAAGTTAGTGAAAGCAGACTGAAGTTTTTAAGTTCAAAGTGAAAGCAAGGGAAGTATTTGGAGGAGCGGTGTTTCTGTCAAAACCACAGATACAGTGGGTAATTTCAGCAGCACTATATTCAAGGAACTTCGTAACGGGTTTATTACGAGAGATGCCTCTGCAAAACTAGAGTCCCGGCTCTGTAAGCATCTATTGCTCTCTTTCCTCTGAAACACTGTAGTGCACATCTTGCCATTGCTCTCCCTTTGTGCTATTTAAAAAAATCTGTTAACCTCAATACTAAGGACTTCTGTGTTTAGGTATTTTACAGGACATTCCTCTGTGAGAAGGTTAATTTTTAATTTGTCTGAAATGCTGTCCTGCCCAACAGTGCTGGTTTGATTTCTTTGTCCCATACTATTCTGAGTAATTTTTGAAATTAATTTATTCCCTGCTCAAGGAAGGGCTGGCACAAGATTCTATCAGGCTTCCAAAAACTATTTAAGGCAAAAGGTACTGAGACTGATTTTTTGATCTTTTTCTAGACACCTGCCTGGAGCCCATTCTCTAAAAACCCGTGTCACCTAACTCTCAAAAACAATGTTCATCCTTGGACATTCCATAAATGACCTGACTTTCAAAGGTGTCAAAAACAAGTTTTAGCCAGTGCCATATAGATATTGGTTTTAGCAGTCAGCATCTCAGTTTGGGTGTACTCATAGCCTTTGGGAAACAGAGAGACTGAACACACACAGATGTGGCAAATCTATTCCTGTTTATATTGAACAAACATGACTTTGTCATTCACTGAGATGAGAAGAACAGTTAAAGCTGTAAAGTCATGTTTGACTGAAAACAAAATTTTGTTCCCTTTAAAATTAGAGATTATCAATTAATCTGTTGAAAAAAATGAATCCAGTAAGTTTTTGAAATCCTTTACCGTGACGTGCCAGAAAATGTGATGCTAAATAAAGGTCCAGGTCTCACCAGTGTAGCTATTTCATCTGTGCTATTTTCATCCTTTTCCAGCTGTAGCTATATGCATTCGACCTGAGCATCTTTTAATTAAGGAAAGAGGGGCAGAGCGAGGAAGGAAGCTGAAGTGAAAAATTTGGCTCTCAACTTAAGCAGGAACACAAAATGTGAATTTAATTCCCCAGAGATGGCGACAGAAGAAAAGAGCTGTCCTCTTCCATGTGCCAAGAAGCCAAGTTTCCATGCAACGCACCAGTGAATTCATGGCAGGCAGCTGCACTGTTTCAGAAACTCCTGTGAAAGAGGAAGCAGGAGCAGGAGGAAAGAGAAGAAACACAACGCTCTTTCCACAAACTGAGTCTCAAAACACAGCAAAAGCCAATAAAATTACCTTGAGGAAAAATGTCCTACGAAAACCCTTGCCAATTTCTGCACTCCCAGACATCTTGTTCCTACTGACTCTCAACAGGAGATGGTTGCTCAGCCCCTAAGACTTACATGGATAAATACCCATAACATACTGCTAAACTGCTGAACACCATCTTCCTACAAAATTCTAAAGGAGAATCAAAAAATAAAGTGAATACAGGTTTTCTGTTAAAAAAAAAAAGTTAGTGATTTTCTACTAATTACTTCCCACTAAATACAAACAGCTCTCTAGATTCATTGCTGAATTCTGCTGGGTTTTACAAACTAGACTTTAAGGCTTTTGCATATTCAGGTGTGTTTCGTATTTTAAAAGCCCCCAAATGGATACACATAAATGCACAAATGCAATATGGGAGTGGAACAGGTGGCAGAATTTGATCCACTTATATACATTTTTGTATTATTTACATTTCAGAGCCACTGTTTTCCATTTACCCCATCAACATCCATAATTACATGTCCATAAAAAAAGTCCAGTTTATGAATTTAGAGGGAAAAAGGCACATGATGTTCAGATGATTCACAAGTTTTATCAGCAATTATTTCTTATTTACCCCTAACCTCTGTATGTGGATACTGCAGAATACTCTGTTTTATACAAATGCACCAGTCACCCTACTAAACACAGCACAATTTATGGTGACCCCACACGTGTCTACAATTTGCAGTCTGTCCCTTAACCAGTTCTCAATCCACCTAGTAGAAAACAAACTGATACCGGTATGTATTATAGGCATACTCCTATTCCACACTGCACTATCTGAGAATCTTGAATGCAGCAATGTTAATGTATAACTGCAGTTATACAATTCACTTTCATCATCAAGAAAAAATACGATACAGACTCTTGGACATTAAATTAATAATGTGGATAATATTCTGTTCTCAGACCATTACACTCAAGAGCTAGATTTGCCTTTGGATACAGCAGCACAAATCCATGTACCAACTGAAAAAGAAAGTGGCTGTAGAGAACACTGTTTTTATATATTGCCAATGAAACTACTTAATGAATTAAAACTCCTAGACATTTAATAAAATTAAATAAGGCATGCCATTGTATAACAACTCAGTTATACATAACTATTCCATAGGCATGTATATATACACTTCCAAGATAGATACATATGCATAATATAAATACAACTACTAAACATCTCTTTATATAAAAATACTTTAAGACCACCAAAATGTACTCTGCAAACACAGAAACCAACATGCAAGAACTGAGAAAAATTTCTAACCATTTCATTATTATAACTCAATTTACTGATAGACTGCAATTTCAGTCGAGGGTTGTCTAAACTCAACCATTTGATGCTATAGCTCAACATCAGAGATCTTTATATTCAGTACTAATTAATGATCCGTGCCCTTTTGGTGCACCACTAATTAGAAACTGCGGTCAAGCAATTAAAATTCCAATCTCCGGAGCACCCCTCCCCGCAAAGAGAAGAGGAAGGCAAGTGGCAATCAAATGAATTAATCCACTGATACACGCTGAAATACTTTGCATTTATTTTTTGATCTGCAAGACTGGCAATGTAGCTTCCAAAAAGCCCTTCATTTATAGGCACTCCTGCCAAGTCCCAAGTCTCCACAATTAATTCTTTGTTACTGTTCACGGATGACTTTGGTTTTCTGGGGGGAAAGAATCAGGCTTTTAACAAGAGAAATCCTGCAGACCAACTTGGTCAGGTTCTTGGCCAGACGCAGTTCTGAAGAACTGGGACTCTTCTGACACATCCAAACTGTTTCCTAGGAGGGAGGACAAAGACCACTGAAGAGAAGCCAGCACTGCCGAGCAAAGCTCTTTCGTTACTATGAGGACAGGATGCGTAGGTTTACAATATGAAAGCAAAAGGGAAAACATGCCTGACTCTGCTCAAAGAAAGATGATCAAGGAATTCCCCTTTGCAGAGGAAAAGCAGTCTCCTCTATGCATTCATTCTCTCCTAAGTACATACTTAGATACAACTACCAAACGTAATTAGAAAACATCACCCAGAAATTTCCTGAGGCTATTTTCAATGGATGCACATTAAGTTGCTGCTACCTATACCCAAAAAAGACAAGTGTTCCAAAGTTCCCATAAATCCATCTTCATCTGGCCTGGTTTCTGCCAGGGTGAAACATGGCCCAAAGAAGAGGAGCTAGGGAAGTCCTCCACCATACTTAAGATGTTTTAAGACTGCATGTAGGACTCCACCTTTGGAGTCGCTTCAGCCCACAGACTGACCATGAAGAGGCCAATTGCTTTTATCAGCTTATTCAGCATGAAGAGGCTGTTTGACTCATCTGTGCTGAAGCAAGTACACCAGCTGCAAGGGTCTGGTGGGCAGCATGGCATACAAAATTTTTTCTGCATAAATGATTCTTGGTTAGTTTGAGAAGAGCTGCTAATGCAGAACTAGAGGAGACCCAACCTACAAGTATGCAGTTCCCACCTGGAAAGGACAAAACAAACAAAGACCAACACTTCTGAAGTTGTAGATATGACCACTCCAAGTCCAAGTTAACAACTCGGAGCCATCTAACAGCTGCTGAAGTGATACTGT